ACTTTGGTGATATACTACTAGATGCACAATGCCCCTCAATTAGAGCGTGTGCAACACAGATAAACGGAGGTCCAGTGTTCTGATGAGAGATTAACGCTCTGTTTCGTCTGAGTCAGAATTCCCATTGTGAGTGTCCTTACGGTCAGACAAAATGTTGATACTTAAAAAAGATGCTAATTCTTCGAGGATCGCGCTCTCTTTGTTGATAGTCGAGCTTACTGTAGCCGACTCAATCTTGGTGTCGGAAGAATGCTATGTCATCGCAACACCGCTTTGGTTATAAACAGGAATAATTTGTGTATCGGTGATAGGATCAAACTATCTTATTCTGCGCCACAAACGCCCACTGTTTTCATCATCCAATGTTGACGGTAAGATACCATGACCATTGTAGTCATTCATTAATTTAGGATCAATATCCGCATTGGATGCGTGAGGTGAACCACAATGACCTACCGATGACGCGACCGCTGTACTAGCAGTCGCCATCATGGCTCTAGCATCTTGTGTCTTCGTCGTGTCATCGCGACGCACACGCTTAACGGTATAAGATGTGAGGATATTTGCAGACAACTTAATTTCCTTCCCACTCTTGAATGGCACGCGTACGCCAGCTGTTTTGCTCAGATAAAGTACGAGATCATAGAAATTTCAGACAAGCATGCACAGATGAAGAGCGGCACGTCTTTGACGGCTCACTGTCAAGTGCTTCTCCTTCTTTACAAAGCTAAATAATGCTAACAAATATTTTGAAACGGGTGGTGGTGAAGCGGGATCGAAGCGTTGTACAAGAAGTTTCGTGTAAAGGAATGGTAAGGTCTAAGAACTGCTCTAAGTGCAATACGCATTTAAACCTTTTATGTGGTTGAGGTAAAGCAATTTCGTACCTGACAAAAAAGTGTGTTGCACACACGAGGATAACATCACTATTTGACCTCATTTTGTGATTTTATACAAGTACGTCATCAGCTCACTTATAATCAATTTAAGTGCATTGTAGAGATGGCGACTCGTCAAAGCGGCGCCTCATCGTTTGTCTTTTAGCCAAAAAATGTATGATTCCTGTGCTATTGAATATCTATGAAATAAGTCCTTTTATTGCAACTTTTAAAAAGAGTGCATCGGAGGACGGGAAACCGCGTCCGAGCCACACTTACAACAAGCGTTCATCTATCGAAGAGGTAGTCGTAAGACGGCCACCGAACCTAGCTACAGACGAAAGAAAAAGGTAAACTGCGTACTTACAGGTACCGAAAGGTTTGTGTTTATGTAGTGCGTGGCGTTTAAGAGCACCCGCCTTACGTCTTTCAATCGTAGTTTTATGTATTTAAGGCAATTTGCATGGTATTCATACATCTGACCACACATATTCAAATAAAACGGCACAAGTCGATTGACGATAAAGAAGGACGAAGCAGCACTACGGCGAAATATAAAGTGATTTGCGGAATGTTTACTTAGGCAAGAGCTGTAAGTCAGTCTCCCATCTGGAGCAGGCCTACCCATCAGGTTGTCCTGACCCATTTATACAATGTGTTACACATTATAAATTGCTGAAACAAATCTACATGTTTGTAAAATTGGGCAGATTGAAGAAGTTATCTACATCCCCTACCCTTATTTTTACCGCCCTGCGTAAACAACGTGCAAAAGGCACACAAATGACTGACAGGATAGATCGTTCACAGATTCGTCAATTGCCCTATTCGCCACGAACCAATTGTGCTGTAGTACACGCCGTTATCTTTTACACCTTCCTTTACCGCTTCTTCCTCCTCCCCAGTTACGGAAGATGAGTCTCTGGGCAGCGTATATTTTCCTCCTGTTTTATGACCACGATAACAATGCTAATTTTTTCTCCAACTGGCGAGAGTTATCTCTTAATTTCGGCAATCCCCGAATCATTGAAGTAGGTGTTTGCTTATCGTCCAAAATTCATTTTTGTCAAGGCAATTGTTATCGCGATTTTGGTTACATGTTTCGCCAAGCCAGCACACGACTTAACACTATTTAATGGAATAAATTTGTGCATCAAGAGTCATCAGCTAGGTGACGTCGGAAATGTTGTCGCGATGGATAAAGCGCGCGACTAGGCGTGCCCATACCGCACAACGCTATCTGGGTCATGTAAAAAAGATGACGAGCATGTAAAAATTAATTTTATCAAATAGATAGATCCGAAAACGCGCCTTGAATGACGGGAGAAAATTAAATAAACGAGAATAACGATGAAAAATGTAATAGCAGATATTGTCGCAGTCGGGTCTGTGCATGAGTTTCGAAAGCTGAGTTATTCCTGATTTACTAAAAATCTAGGCGATTGTTGTATAATTGATATGAGTAGCCGGCGACGAAACAATAAGGTAGTTTGGGTGACTGTCTTAGTCATTAGCTGAAAATTAATGAACATTTCGGGTGTGACGATACCCAAAAGCATCACCCATAGGAGTAAAAACAGGAATATCAAATGCCCCATTCGATCATGGAATTAAATGCCCCAGATAATCTAATAAATTATAGGCCCCAGATATTTGAAAAACAAGTCTCCTATTCCTCGTGTACTTAAGTTAACGTGGTAGACCCAATGTTTATTACCAGAAACCGTATCCTTATGTCCTTTAAATGGCTGTGTTCATTCCCCAGCTCTGCAGGTGGTACCGAGTAATTATCTGCCGCGGGTGTGCTGTGCTCGTAGCCAGCAGTTTTCAGTTTATATGGCGCAGGTTAGATGCGATCGCATCTATGTATCGTCAGTCGCGGCCGTAAATGCAGACGATCGGAACTGGTGTTGTTGTAATTGACGGTATTGTTTTGTTATTGTTTTGTTATTGTTTTTATTGTTTTCCAATGTCGTATGGACATAACTGCTACTTTTGTTACAGTTGCTGCTACTTTATTAATAGTCTCGTTGTTGCTGGTGTCATGGTTGCTGCTACCGCTGTGACTGTAGCTGTTATTTGTATTGTCGAAGCCTATTCTGTCACAGTAAATATCCGCGTGACCGTAATAAATAGCTCATCTGTTATTAGAAAGTCAAAATCTAAGAAAAATGCGTGCGAATGTTGATTATTACAGGTTAAGCCATGCATCGAAGCACAATATTGGTGTATGTGTACTACGTTATCAAGAGTTTTCGAGGACGTGGGGCACTTTGTATTTTTATTTCCGATTGTCTGGGTATTTTTCTATTTTAAAGATTAAATGGGCCATTTTTTATTTTTTTCATGGATATTAAATTCCACATAAAATATACAGAACCTTATTCAATTCTATTGACTTTTTACTTATATCCAAAAAGCGAGCTGCCAGCGCGTACTTCCCTTTCGTATTAACTTGCCTACTTGTACGTGTTCCCTGAACACCAGTACCCAGATGAAGAATCAGAGCTCGACTAGTTTATCGTCTACGCGCCAATCGTTCGTGTTGGTACTTTGCATCGGATCTGTACAGCTTTGTCGAGTTGCGGGGTCTGGTGAAGTTTGGTACCATCACGTATCTGTACTCGGCGCGCGAAGGTGTTGCTTGGACAGAACAACGACAGAGTTTTACCGTGTTATAGTTATATTCCTACTGCTAATTAGTACGATCTGGAATTTTCGAAATCGGTGGAATTGTCAGTCGTTGTTGTACAGGTAAACGTTTCGCTTATAATTCCTACAATCGATCGATCCATCCATACGCTAAGTCATTCCACGCATGTGTAACACTAACTTTGGTCTACACCAAGATGTCTGTCACTTCTATCGACCTCAACCAGTTGCCGCAATAGAGAGAAGCTCAATAAGCGTTGTCAGTTGTCGAGCGATTGCTGGCACGGGACGTTTTTTTTGTACCTCACATCGATTTGTAGCTGAAAAATGTCAATGCGTCCTACAGCTTTCACGGTTTTGTATCAATTCAAATGTGTCGACAGATGCACGAACAACAGGAGAAAAAGACTAAAGAGACTTTGACAAACTGCGACTGTGAGGCGGCAGCATCATCTGGTAAACGAGGAACGGAGACTGGTAGCAGTGCAGACGAAGTTACTCTTTAGTGAGCCTTTATGCCACAACAAGAGCGATTTACTTTGAAGTCGAAGATATCGCACACTGGACGAGTAGTTGCAGCACATGCGAGTCGACGAGCACTCGCAAATGGTAGGATGCTGTCGAGTAATGTGGACCTGATAGTCCTAGTATGTGCTGCATAAACTGAATGTGGTACATGGAAGCTTTACAATCGTGGCTATGCCCGTTGATGTTTAAACTGCCTTAAAAGTCTAGCAGAGTGCGGCTAGGCTCACCACTAGTGCAAGAGGTCTGGTCCATCTTCCACGTCAGACGAATTAGGAAACAAGCTCACTACTACGCGATGGGATGGGATGATGTGAATCTATATGTAGGTTGCGTACGGTTCAGTACACAACGTACGTCGAGGTGGTACAGTAGCATAGCACCCACGAATGCGTGTTTTGGCCACCATCGAGATGACCTTAATGTCGAACTGGATGAATAGTCCTAGTCTGCTCATTTTGAACGGCAAGGTTGGTGTCTACTGTCATAACCTGACAAAGGCGATACAAGCTGGATTGCTCATCGATTGTAGCGAGTAATTGTGGTAGTGTAGACGCTGTCACTGACTTAGTACGCGGGGTCAGCAATTGTCCGAAAAGTACTTGCCGTCTGCATTTGCATGTCTTCTCGTGGGGCATGGTTTGAAAACGTCATTTACTACACTGTACCATACACCAGCGGATCTACTACTGCCCTCCAGGTGGTCGCAATAGACAAGATTATAACTTCTCTTTCGTCCTTATCCTGCGATGCTGATCCTGTAAAAGGCGGCCGGACAAAGAGTTGCTGGTAGCTGATCGACGATATCGCAACCGCCCAAATATTCGGATGCTAACTCCAGCATGCTCACTTTCGATATTGATAGACGCTTGCAACGCCTCATGGCTAGACACGGTTGTAGAAACGATGTGGTGACAACTATCGATGCGAACCGCTACCATTGTACTACGTTAAACGAGAGGTTCCAGCTCTTGTCGTTTTGCCGTCGTACACATCCTGCGTACCCAAGTATTCCGTTCGAACGTCTGTTGGTATCGTCAGATTCAGCGCTGGCATCTTGTCCAAGCACGACTTGTCAAGGCGGTCAAGGTTTCCACCATTTTTGACGTAAGACACCACCAAATTCATTCCGCATAATCCTCCAGACTCGCCAAGCGGAGTTGATGTGATGGCGCCATGAGTAGCGTACTCGAAAGTAATTAGTTCTTTGTTGGAACCCACCAGCCCTTCGAACAGAGCCTCAGCGTGCTTGCAAGGAGTCTGAGCATCCAGTTTGCTACTCAGCAGCAACACACTGGCATGCCTTGGAATGACTGAAGTCTTGTTCCAATATCGGTCGCGCTCGTAGATGATGGCACTTGAGCCATTGTTGTCCAGTTTAAGTCCGTCACAAGTCCGAGACTTCTCCTTGGAAAAAGCGCAGTACAACTGATTCATCTTGTACAACTCCATGTATTGACCGGCGTACATTGTCGCGCGTGTCAATCGATTCTTCAGCAATTGAAAAGAAGGTGCAGGCCTTTCCCACATTTCGGAGAAGTTGATCAGATTGTACAGAACTGTCGACATGTACGCGTTGTCCTGGTCCTCGGCCTCGGCGGCGGTTTTGAGACCTGTGAGGAGTTGCGTCAACACGACGCGATCTCCTTTCGTACAGCGAGTCAGTCTGTAGACAACCGGTGGAATAAATGCTCGCCATGTCGGATCAACCAGCATCCAGCCCAGAGTACCACGGAGTGCGAACGACGGTGGGTTAGCCGTTGGGGCACCTTTTGTGCTTACCAGCTGAGCGCAGGTCGAGTTCGGTTCCTTGTCGAACTTCTCAATCAGATGTCGTACGGAAGTAGGCAAACTCTCAGCCTTAAAGTAGCGACTGCATTCGTCGTCGTCCATGCACAGATCAAGGAATGCGTCGCCCACCTCCCCGATATCGAGATCGATCGCCGAAACGTACGGGAACTTGTCCTTCGCCGCGGCAGAGGTCGTGGAAACACTGTCCATGACATAGCCGATCACTGTCGGAGGCTTCAAGTGCATCAGACGTTCTACCAGCGCCGTTCCGTAACTGACGCCGTAGACGATAGTGCTTTTGCCGTTCGTATACTCGGAGATGAACGTCGCCATGTCCGTGGCAGCCGACGTCGTGGAAAACGAAGACAGGTCACCACCGTACTTGTACTTGAGATCCTGCGCACATGCAGCAACTTCGGACAGGTCAATCTCGCTGCCAGCAGGAGAGCCGGTAGTAGTAACTTGAGCTGACACACAGTCCAGACGTGTGCTGCGGCCCGTGCCCCGATGGTCCATCGTGTAAAGATTAGCTCTTCCTCCGAGTAGATCGTGTATAGATACCATGATCATTTCCACTACATTGACGAGACCAAAGTACGAACGAAGGCTAGACGTCAATTATACGACAAGTAAAGCCGGGTGCAAAACACAACGTACATGAGGTCGACGAGTACCCTGGACCACCTTGGACAAACCACACGTTCGTTGCAGTAGCGGGGTCTTCAGATGTTGCTGGGAACTGCTTGACGAAGATATCGACAGTCGAGTCCACCGATGGCGGGGTCTCACAGATACCGGGGTAGCACAAAGGGGCTCCGTAGATCGCGCACTTCGTAATAGCGCCAGTCGAGCTCCCCTCGTCGGAAAACGTGGTGTCAGAACACGGGTACCAGCCATTCAGGTCAGCTTTCTTGGCGGACACGATCGCCAAAGGTAAGGCCAGACAGACCGCAGTCAGTGCGGTGACACTGGAAATCAGCATCTAGTCAAGTTGCAGGCACCGGCGAAGATGACAAATGACCGTGACCACGATTCACACAGTCGACGCACGAAGCAAAATGCAGCGACTTTGTTATCATTAACTGGCTACACACGGTATCGGATGCTGTGAGACAACGGGAAGCGATGGTATGCAGTTTGTTGGATTGTGATGGCGGTCTTTGCTTTGAGAGGCATGTCGCGTCGTTACTGTTTTATCTGGTGATGTGTTCGCGTGAACGTAGCACCAAGCTGAATAGTCACAGATGCCCCGATGTTGATCAGCTGGTTATGGCTGTGGAAACGACCGCTTAGCCGATTTGCGTTCATCCTCTCTTCTTTACATTGCTACTGCCCTGTCCATTGAACAGCACAGCGGCTAGGACGCCGTAGCTCTTACAAAAAAAGCTTAAGGGTGCCAACTTGATGACTTCGACATTCTCCACTAAAATGCTGCCAAAGCTTTGCAATCGGCGTACACGTCAGGACGAGCTCGTGCCTTTTTAGTGGCTACATGTGACATTGTACCAGTAAATCAACGGGAAGCGATCGTGTGCACCTCGTCAAATTGTGACGAGAGTCTCTGCTTTAACAGGCATGTCGCGTCGTCTTGACGTTACTTGGTGATCTGCTTCAAATGCAGAAACACAAATCCCGATGTTGAGTAGCCGGTTCAGATTACTTCATAGTATCCCTCTTCCTTAACATTGTTCGGTGTCTTGTTGTGCTCTCGGCAACGCATATTCCGCGCGACAACACGACTACAGGGGACAACTCAGCACTTGCGACAAAACTCTCGGGCGATCGTTATCGGGCAAGATTGGATGGCGCATCATTATTGAGGGACCGAGAAACTGTACAAATTGTCAATCCCGTCTGATGTTGACAGCCGAATAAAAAGAGACGTCATCATGTCGAGGCAGGAGGAAGTGAGTGCAATCGACATTGGCGCGTGTGTCTAGATAGACCCTTGGTTTGCACATGTACAATAACTGATGCACTGTATTGTGTTACGTGGCATTGTGGATCTGTGTCAGATACCACCATAGGCAGTTTCTCACCGACTAAACTTTACGGAGACAGCGAGGTGCATAAGTATGGGTGGTCCTCGGACAGCTGCTGTACGCTGCGCGTGTTGAAGCCTCGAGATGACAATAGTACAAATGATCAAATCTATCTCTGGAGCACCAAATATTGCTGACTAGTCTAGCTGAACCTGGTGTGACGACACCTGCACCCAAAAGTCTACCGAAGCTAGTGTTCCAGCACATGCGAGCTGCTACTTCCTGGATGCAACCGTGATTGATCATGCAGCGATATTAGTCAATGCACTGGCGAACGCCATCATACAACTTGACTCGGGTTAACTCACGCTTATCCTGGCCTTCATCTTCGGCCTCGTGCTCGTCAACTCTGGCTACACAACGTACCAAGGGCTGAACTCAGCCGTGGGTATCATTTTCATGACAACACTGTGTGAAGGATACGTGACGTACATTGCTTGTCTGCCCTTCACCCTGCAGGAACGAGCCGTCTGCTACCGCGAGTGCGACGCACAGACGTACAACACTCTCTAGTACATCCTCGGCATCACTTTCATCGAGACCCCCTACGTCTTTTCGTAGCAGTTTCTTCCTCACCATTGTTTTCTTCCCTCTCCTGAACATCCGGTCCTTCACCACGGCTGTGCTCAACTGGCTCAACATCTCCCTCTTAGTGCTCATGCAGACACTCCTGGGCCGGTCTTTTAAGTGCGTACTTATGTTTGCCCTTGCCACCGAATCCGTGTGAAGTCCATCTCTTTAATGCGATACGAGTTTCTTTGAACGTGTTAAACTCGTTGAAATGGGTTGTACAAACGCCAAAGTCATAGTCAGTTTGCAATTTGTTGCCAGTGGGATGGTCGTCATTAAGATCAAGCTTTTCCCCTCCATCAAAAATCCTCTCACAGTCTTTGTCTTGATATTCATCACCATGGGTGTCTCCAGCTTTGCAGCTGACTATTTGGCTGGAGTCGCCAGCAGACACTTATATCTGCTGATCGATAGTTCCAGTGTAAACGGGTATGTTGCCTTGCACAGTATGCTCCAGGTCAGCGCGCGCACTGCATGTACCGTCTGTCGGCATTTTGAACCAGAGGCGACAACAATGGAATGTGGTGTGATCAGCTGCACTATGCGAGTCATACATAGCTAGTGTTAAGGGTGACATCCAGGAAACTAAATTTAGTCAATGGAAGCTCTTTAATCTCCGCATTTCTGACTTTCCACATATAGCACAATACAGATGAAATTTGACTATTAAGCTAATTAGCTATTTCGTAAAAACGTTTGACGGCGTTTGCAGTACGGAATAGCAAAAGTTAAAGTACGTAATAGCCTCGCCCGACGGACCCGGAGCTGTTTTGTATATCAGTGCGAGTGGACAGGACATACTTTGGATCGACAGGAAAAGGTACTCGAGCCAATCCTCAAGTATTTATGTTGCAGCTGCTAGCGTCCAATTGTTGAGCGCTCAACAACCATATCTTGATAGTGTATTTAAGGTGCGTGGTAATTTCACGTGCTACATTTGACCGTGCTTTCTCGCATGTGGCGGACGCCGGGGACCTTTTTCTCAAAAATGTTGACCATAGAGTTAGATACCCTGGCGTAAACCACATCCGTTTTTTACGGAAAGGTCAATCGTGATATTTGACTTGAACATCTGCTTTTTTGTAGACGTATTGTTCCACGCTGAAGCTGTTAGCTCGGACGTTGTGTTTCGCATGCAGTAAGCACCAATTGCAGGCGAATGTCGATCGCAGGACGAAGACGAAAAATTAACATCCAGGTTTGATTGTATGAGCTCGTTTAATTTGGATGATGTGAGTACTTAATAGATGAATATCTAAAGTAAGGATGATGCCTTTCCAAGGATCAAGAAAGAGCGGTTCGGTACTAATGCTGAACAAGCGATATTGCCGGAACGCTTTGCCACTTCTTACATTACGTTGTATTTTACTTAAAAGATGCTGAACAATGCGTGAAAGGAGGGTTGGGAGTGACGGTGTGTTGACTACGACATACTGTACATTTTGTCTGGAACGTTTTTAACAAGGTGGTGAATCGTTTGCTAGATTTGTTTACACTTCGCTTTAATAACAACTTGTATCATTTTGTGTTCGCCGCTGCCGTATGCGTAATGTCCAGATTTTTGGATATACCTTTGTACATACTATTGTATCACCATTTCGGTTGGCAGCATCCCTGTGCACTCATATAATTTCGTAGAAGTAAGAACTTGTAGAAGCTCTAAAACTGCTGGTGCATATTAGTATCTAGGTATAGATAATATGTGTGATGCCATTTCAACTCCCTGCTGCTGATATTCTTACAACGTGCTATAAAGTGACGCTTTCGCCGAGAGCGAGGTGCGATATCATAGAAAGTGATAGCACCATACATGTCTGCATTTAAGGTCATCACAAACTTCTGTACATTAGACAATGATTACAATAGAAAGTGTTAACCCCTCATTTTATTTTATTTTTACAAGAAAATCACTTATCTTTACTTTTGACTAATTTTATGCATGTGCATTGGTAAAAGTCATTTTGCCATGATTTACTTCATTTCGCATTCGTTTCGTTTGCGACGGTTCCAATATTTTAAGGGTCATAGGCCGTTCATACCACGTTTATCTCATAGCAGCAACTGTATCACTTATAATTGGAAAAATAATTTATAGGTCAAGAGAAAATTACTGATTTACTATCAAATATTGAAACACCTTGCAACTCGAAAGAAAATGACTTATGTAAATCTGAGTGAGTATATATGATTAGAGATCAACAAATTTAATTGAAGATGATCATGTTGATCGTTTAATTAAAAACTGTTTAACAGAAGGTTATAGTCGATGCTTGTACCGGAACGTCACTTCAGTCGATTTGCAAGCAACGGCGCTTTCTACAACGGTACCCGTCCTTCTCGAGACGAATGCGCACCCCGTTTTCGTCACGACAGCGATAAGACGATTCAGGGCGAGATTAAAGTCGTTGTCGTTAGTGTCGCGCCGCAAAATGGAAGTTAGTTAAATTTACGCATGTCTGAAAGACATCATCGTACAAAGCGCGTACCCACTTGTATATGTCGGCAACGATTCACCATAACATACGCAGTCACGCTGAACAAATTTGCGTCTATTATGAGGTCTCTCGATAATTTGTCATTTTCACGCACCTCATATGCCGAAAGCCGTCGCCCTGGTGGAACTCTTGTTTGATGGACTGCATGCATCCTCTGCACAAGTCCTCGATAGACTCTTCCGTCAAGATAGCCCATTCGAGCGACAACTGAGCATTTATATGGCCGCAGTTTTCGAGCAAAGATTTTGTTCTGCTTGACACGAATCCTTTAATGGAACTCGAGATCGCGCTAAAAAAAACTCGAATGACACAACACTCCCTCTAGCAATTTCAGTATAGTTTATAGTGAATCTGCGCGGGCTCATTTAAACTTTTACTCACAGTCTATGTAGATGGTTCTTGTCGTTGTAAAACGGGAACTTTTTCTCGCCGTTATTGTTGACAGTGCGGTTGTACTACTGAAAGGTGACGCCCGTGGTAAAAAGTGCGCATGAAGAGAATAGCTGCGAAAAGTGCGCCCGGACGATACCAAAAAGCGCACATTCTCTTCGTGTGCTCTCGCATCGACCTGTTATTTTTTACAGCCTGAGGGCAGCGATGTGGAGAATGTAACGGGGTGAATCGTTACATAACGATTTATAAGAAATTGTTAATAGAATATAACTATAAGAGTTATATTCTTAGAATATTGTCATAAGGACAAATATTCTGCAGCACTTACGAGTAGTTCCTAAGTAGTTGATATAGGCCATTATATCAACCAACGAAGACGCGCCACGACAGACGCACGCAGTGAGTGGTGAGCAGATAACTGATTTACACATTTGTATTTAGACATAGTTAGATGAAGATAAATAGTGATTTATAAACGGACATTAACTATGATAAATACAGTTCTACTTTTTACTCTAACCGAGTACTCGCTTCTTCTTACCGTCTTCCTCTGCACGTACGAGTGTACGTGAAGTTACGAGGCACCGCCTTATTCTGTTATCAGAATAAGTAGCTTGTACTGTCACCAGTACAAGCTTCAGGGTGCCCCGTTACAGTTCGATAGGGAAACAAAACGCGTTTGCGAGATCAACATCAATGGCTTCACATGAATAAGTGAGCTACCCAGCAATGCCGCTTGCATATTCTCAGCTGTAGTACGCCTTTTTTTTATTTGCGATTATGAAGGGTGGAGCTGGTAGTGACTGTGCACAAGGTAAATGTTGAGCTTTTAAGCATACTAATCTGTGTGTATATGTTTGTTTTTCGTTTAATATCGCGAATAGGTGTACCTTACACGTACCAGAAAAGATTTAGCCGGTCCCCTGATAGGTACATAGACATTCCGAGTCATTTTGTTGGCTAATGTCACTATTATGATTCACGCTTGTAAATGGCTTTGAAATCGATTAAAGCTGAATGTGATCACAATAGCAAATCTCGGACGCTTATAACCAAAGGCTGATGGCGTTCCTTTTAGCATACTGTACTGAGTTACAACTGACTTTATGCAATATACTCATTCTGATGTGAGTAAGTGAGTGAGAAGGTGAGGCGTATTCAAGTACGTTTGCGACCCATTATATCCTCCTGCCTGGTAACAGCGTTACTATAACGAGGTCTACTTTTGTTACTTAGTAGTACTAATCTGCGGACAGCGATCACCTTAGCGCTGGGTATCGCCGCCGAAGAAATGAGGCTCCTTAAATTCAACGCGGTACCCTGTAGTTCTTGGTGTTCCACTTGTAATGTCTACAGCCAGTGGTTGACATCCTTGTCAAGGAATGCCAAAGCTTTCAAAAAAACTGTGCTCTGTAGAAGGATCAACTTGAATGAGTACGTTCTTAAATCGCAATATTTGCCAGTTGATCTGACATTTATATACAGGCGTGATAGAGATGGTCCCATCTGTAGACTTCAAGATTGTCCGCAAGGGCACGTGCCTCCCAAAATAGCGACATCAAGCTGGCCTTCTGCTGGGGACGATGAGTCTAAAATTTGTGAGAGCACCATCGCATTTTCTCCGATGGTATGCAGCGAATAATATTTATACACCTTCGCGTATCGTAGACGGTGCACAATCCCCCAGTATTCGGCTGTCTTGTTTGCGGTATCAGCAGCGCTATACGCCATGCTCGAACCCACAGAACGAAGTGGTGTGCGTAGCAATGTTAAGCAGGACAATAATGGAACCAAATCCGCCTGATTTTAGGTTTTCCCTAGTCCACTTTCGAAGAATAATAGGAAAGTCATACCTATAACGGCGCACCCTGAAGCTTGTACTGATGACAGTACAAGCTACTTATTCTGACGACAGAATAAGGCGGTGCCTCGGAACTTCACGTACACTGGTACGTGCAGAGGAAGACGGTAAGGAGAAGCGAGTACTTGGTTAGAGTAAAAAGTAGAACTGCATTTATAAAAGGTTAATGTCTGCAAAAACCACTATTTATCTTCATCTAACTATGTCTAAATACAAATGTGTAAATCAGTTATCTGCTCACCACCCATTGCGTGCGTCTGTCGTGGCAGTCTTCGTTGGTTGATATAATGGCCTATATCAACCAATTAGGGACTACTCGTAAG